ATTCTGTTAAAACGCTTTGACGGACTAGTATAAGAATTAAAATTCTACTTACAGAAAACTGTCTGGGCCGCCGCAAGGCAAAGCGACTCGGATTCGAATTCGAATTCGAAATCGATCCGAACCGATCCGAGCTCGTTCTGCACTGGCATTTGCTGCCCCGAGCATAGACACGCATAATCATTTGGTTATTCAGTTAGATATACTCGTACGCCTCCTATATATGTACTAAATAGTGTTTAAGCATTTCTCGAGTGGTTCCTTTAGGCATAGTCTAGTAATACTTAAAAACACTTCTACGAAGCCAGTTTGAGTTTTAATTTACTTTTACTTTTGGGGTTCTGGGGTTTTGGTTTATTATTAGTTCGCTGCTGGGCCGTATTGACATCTGTCGATATCGATCCGATCCGATCTACTAGAATTTTTTACAAAATTTAAATTCCATGCTCCAAACATGCTCAACAACGCCGACGAATACGAATACGAATACGAATGCCTTTGGTTTACTTTTGGTTTCTTTTCCTTAATAACATTTATCAAAAATATAAACTACAAGTAAAATGACTTTTGGTTTTCTGGTTTAGATATGACATACAAACATATATGTACATACATATGTACATATGCATGGACACCTACGAGTGTAGCCTAGGTTTCGTCCTCCATGGAAGGAGTGCCTGCCTGGCAGCCTCATGGCCAGCTCGAAAAAAGACAGAGAGACCAGTTCTTGGGGGCACTGATCTCGTTTGATTTCGATTCCGATTCCGCTTCGATTCCATTCAACGTTCATATAGAGCTCCTAACAATCACATCAAATAATAGTCGTAATAGTAGTATGCATACACATACAAATGTATATACATAAGTAAGTGTATATATGTATGTATATATGTACGCGTGAGTTCCAACACTAGCATGCACTGGACTGTCCTTTCCATTCATTAAACAACACTTACACTTAGCTCTAATCCGTAAAGATCGGTTCTCTTGCTTCCTTGCGCCTTCCTACCGATGGTGTTACCTTTCCTTCAAGTTCCCCTTCTGTTCTGTTCTTTTCTTGTCCTGTTTTTGGGCGGGGAAAACGAGACTTTTCCCCGAAAAACTAATCACAAATGGCCAACTACATGTACATATACTATATAGGTAATGTTAACATATATAAATCGGTTTACATGTACGTACATACGTACGAGTGTGCGCCAACGTCGGGAGCCAGAGGCAGAGCCAGAGTTGTAGGAGAGTCATACCGCTCCGATGCTTCAGTTTGGCGCCTATATAGGTATCTATATACGAGTATATATGTATGTATATATATTCGTGTATATGTATACTTAGGGGAGAGCACAGTTAGTTGGCGGTATATGTAAAACGTTTATCGATTCGGATTATCAGAAATAAAACTGCATCCACGTACATACATATGCGAGTACGTGGGCATCGAGTACTATCCATGTTGTTAGTTTTGATAGCTTATACATACAAACATATGCATATCAGAAATATGACTCCTTAGAGTGTCCTGTGTGGGTGTGTGTGTTTGTGTGTGGCTTCTTCTTGACCAATTTTCGTATATGTATAGAGAAACATATGCATATCAGAAATATGACTCCTTAGAGTGTCCTGTGTGGGTGTGTGTGTTTGTGTGTGGCTTCTTCTTGACCAATTTTCGTATATGTATAGAGAAACATATCCATATGTATGTTTTTATTTAAAAAAAATTGTTTCGGCTTTCCTTATGTTTTTGTTGTTGCACAGTCTATTAGATTCTCAATTCATCAAATGTTTATCAACATACATTCATCATATACATATATATATATATATATATATATAGGTTATACCGCTACTACGGACAAGGGGGATGGGGAGGGGGGACAGCAGAAAGATGGGGTCTCGGGGCGTCCACTGGGGGCGTCAGGGGTGTACACTGTACAGTTCACTGCATCGCAACTGTTCAAACTATGGAAATCAACTAAAAAATAAATCAAACCAAATAAAACTACTAAATAAATAAAGCAAACAAGTGAGGGTATTTTTGTATCAGAATATATATAAAAATCTTTAATGTTTCTCGGTTTTTGTTTTTATTTTGTTTGTGGCATTTGTTGGATTGTGTGCTTCGTGTAGACAACGGTTTACAACAATTTGTGGAGCAGAGGGTTGAGTTTTTTGTTTTCTTTGTTTTTTTTTTTTTTTTTAAATACTAAGTTTAAATGTATTTTTTTTTTCATTTGTGTGTGTGTGTGTGTGTTTGTGGGTGGGTGTGTGGGTGTGGTTGTTTCATAACATTTAAAAACCTAATAATAATGATAATAATAGTTGATCAACATAAAAACAAGTTTACGCAAGCACAAAATACAAAAATTAAAGTCCTCGCCGGAATCGGTCAGTGCTAATCCATCCAAAATGCTAATAAATACAATACAATTAAATAGTTTCAATTAGCATATACATATATGCATGTACTGAACTGTACTATACATAATCAGCTATGAAGGTGTGTAATACCATCAATCTATTGATGGTACCGATAGCAGTTTTTTTCTCCTTTCTTTCAACAATTTGTATATAAAAAAATTTCAACAGTTTTTAGTTTTTAGTTTTTTTTGTGGTTTTGTTTTTTGGTTGTCAAGTAAAAAGTTTTCTCACACGGAAAATGTACAATACTTTCGTTTACCTCCCCGTTGCATCATTGCATCGTCGTCGTCGTTACAGCTACATCAATACATCGATACATCAATACATCAATACATCATTCATCGTTACAATAGTCGTTCAAGTCAATGGGGGTTACATACAACAAGAGAGAACTACAAAATATATGCTCGTATATATAATAATCTCACTTAATAAATACACACAAAAATAATCGTAGAAAACCAAAAAAAAATACAATTCAATAAAATAAAATACACTAAGAAAAGCGTTTTTCCAAAACAAACAATGAAAGCACTAGCATAGTTAAATAAGTAATACATAGGTATGTATAATAATTATATTCAAGAAGTCTAATACCTGCTTATGTGTGTGTGTGTGTGTGTGTGTATGAGGAGGTCATGGTGGGGGGACGGGGTCGGGGTCGGGGCCTGCTGGGACACATGGGGCTCCTAGCAAAACCAACAAAAAAAAGCGAGAGAGAGAGAGAGATTAATTACTTTAAGAATTACAAAATAAACATTTTTTAAATGCTGTTCCTGTTAATGTTGCGTTTGTAGTCTCAAAAGGTTCGGTTCCTTACATATTCCCCCTGCTCGTCTAATCATTAATTATTATTTAACTAACACTTAGAGAACACTTTAGTTAGCAAAGTAAATGCCTTAAACGGATACAGTGCACGCCACAAGCGTAAGGAGTGTAGCGAAGCTGCTGCCTGCCCCTCCTCTCCTCTCATCTCCTCTCCGTTTCGTTCCTTTCCTTTCCTTACGTTTCTTTAATAATTATTAAATTATTTGAGATTTTTGTTTCGTTTCACTCTTCAAGTGTTTGCCTACACACTCGCATCTATGCGTATGTAAATATGGGGACACATACACATACATATACGTGTACGCCCGTTGTATACGTGTACCTACATAGTTGTATAATTATAGTAGTTATATATGTTAAGTCTTCTGCGCTGATTGCCAACTTTCAGTTAAATGTATTTGTTACTTTAAAATTGATTTATGCATTCTTTTAATTGGAACATTAATAGTTTCAAATTGCATCGAATCTGCGGGACCACGAGCTGCGTGTTGATTGCAGAAATACTCGTAAATAAAGGATCAACAATTACGACTTAGGCTAATTGTTTGCGTATGTTTGTGTTTGTGTTTGTCTTTGTTTCTGTTTGTGTTTGTGTTGGGTTAAAAATTAAGAAACGGCAAATATTGTGTTGGTTGTATTATTATTTAAGATACTTTCTTGTGTGGTGTGGTGTGGTGTGGTATGGTGTATAAATAGCAAAACAATGGAATAGAAAACATCAAACGTAAAACTAGGCGAGTATAAAAAATGAATTCTGTTGTGTCGCGGTTTGGTCTCAGTTCGGGCTCGGGGGATCGGGTTCGGTTTTCGTATAAAGGTAGCAAACATTTCTTAAGCAATAGGTTTTTATAAATAATCAGTAATCAATAGATAGTAATGTAATCAAAAAATAATTTATAAACATAAAAACAGTTGTATAATATATATATATGTATCAAATGTTTATGCAATCAAAGAATAATAATAACAAACAATCTGCGCAGTTATACATCTAGAATTACAATCGGTTATCAAATAATTACGCTCTTCCTAGACTCCACTCGACTCGACCCTTCTTCGAGTATCGCTCGTCGTTATAAGCAGCTAATCGTTAATTATGTCTCGTTAGATTTCAGTTTTAGTTATATTATTTTTAATTCATGTTTTCTCTTGCTCCTTCTTCCGTAGCTTCAAAACGAACATGAGAAAGTGGAGGGACTTCTTCTGGTATTATTATTATGATTTATATAAAAATTCTTATTTCGTGGTTTGCTCTTGTTTTTTGTTTTTGTTGTTTTTTTTTTTGTTTTTTGTTTTTGTTTTTTGTTTTTATCCACTTTGGACTTGCGCACGTGAGAGAGGGAGCAGGGAACAAGGGGCCTGTGAGATAGGGTGAAGGGGGTCGAAGGGGATTGGCGGGCTGGGGCTAGGGCTGGGGGCGGAAGCGTTCCAACTTTTGAACATGAACATGAATACATACACATATCATAAACAAATACACACAAAAGTAAAAACTAGGCTTAACAGTGTAAATATATATGTATATAAAAATAAAACAAAATTCAACAATAATTTATAAGGTAATAAAAATCGTTCCAACAGTGTGCGTGTGTTTACAGTTACTGAGCGAGTTACAGAGCGGAGCGGGCCTACTGCTCGCTACCCTAGGATTTGAGAGTCAGAGAGAGAAAGACAGAGAGAGAGACATGGTCCATGGATGGGACATAGGAAAGATGAGAAGAATGTGACAGGTGACAGGTGAGAGAGTGGTGGGAGAGTGACCGCGCAAGTCAAACTACTGAGAGAGTGAGTGAGAGACGCACAGGCACAGGTCCTTCCGCACGTGGATGCGGATGCGGTTGCGGTTCTGGTTGTGGTTGTGGGTGTGGATGTCGAGCGTGTTTACATACCCACGGGCGCCAGCTGCACGTAGCGGTAGATGTAGAGGCGGTAGTCCTTGCTGGCCAGCACCACGCTGCCATCGTCCATGAGCGCCACGTCGAAGCACTGGGCGTGCTTCACCTTCGACTCGAGGGCCGATATTAGCTGCCCGTCCTGCGTGAAGATGGTCAGGTTGAAGTTGTTGTGGTTGTCCGCGATGAGGATCTCGCCGTTCGAGTTGATGCCCACGCCGATGGGGTAGTTGGTGATGCCTTCGCCGCCGATCTGGCGAAGGTACTGGCCCTCGTAGTTGAACACCTTGACGCAGTGCGCCCGGTTGTCGCTGATGAAGATCTCCTGTTTGTCGTTCACGACGACGCCGTTGGGGAACTCCAGGTGCTTGGAGCACCCGAACTTGTGCAACACGTTGCCGTTCTGATCGAAGATGATCACGCGCATCACCTTGCACTCCACCACGATGATCCGCCCCTTGTTGTCCACCGTAACGCCGCGCGGATGTTGCAGGATTGTAGCCCCGAACTTGCGCACGAACTGTCCGTACTGGTTGTAGATCTGGATCTGGTGCGTCGGCGACCGCTCCGTCACGATGATGTCGCCCGAGTTGCGGACGACGGCCACGCGGTTGGGGTAGAGCAGCTGCGAGTCCCGCTTGCCGCACTCCCCGAACTGGAACTTGAAGCGGCCCTCCTTGTCGAAGATCTGGATGCGGTGGTTGTTCGTGTCCGCCACAATGATGTCGTTCTGCGCGTTCACCGCCACGCCGCTCGGCTCCGTGAACTGGCCCTCCATCACGCCAAACTCCCCGAACTTGCAGTGGTAGATCATCTTCTGGCGCTTGATCTGCGACTTGGGCGGGTAGATGGTGGCTGAGAGCAGCTTGTTGGTCAGGTCCAGCAGGGACTCTGAGCTCACGGAGCTGCCGCCCCCCACCACGCCCCCAGCCCCGTTACCAGACGACAGACTGGACAGCTGGCTGGCAAATGCGTCCACGACGGCAGAGCTGCCGCCGCTGGCGGCCCCCACCGATGAGAAGAGGTTGTCGCTGCCCCCGTTGCTCCACTTCTCGTATGGATTGTAGTGGGCCACGGTGCCGGCTCCCGATCCGGATCCACTGCCGCTGTAGCCGCCCCTCTTGGGCAGGAGCTCGCCGAAGTGCTGCTCCACGGCCAGGGTGCTGCGCTCCCGACCACTCAGCAGCAGGCTGCTGCCATTCGTGTACGCCCCCCCTCCGACGGAGCTGCTCTCGAGCAGGCCTCCGCTCAGACCCAAGCCGAGGCCGTGGAGCGTCGACTGGGTCTGCAGCTGGTGCTGTTGCGCCTGGTGCAGCTGCTGATGGTGGTGATGGTGCTGGGAGCCCGACTGCGACTGCCCGCCTGAATGGTGGTGGCTGTGGCTGTGGCTCCCGGCGCTGCTGGCGCTGCTGTTGCTGGCGCTCTGCGTGGGCCGAGCGATGGGCGGCTGCTTGCCGTGAGCGCTGCTGGCCTGGCTGAGGGCGCCATGGCCACCGTCAGAGCTGCTGGCCCGGATATAGCCAAAGGTGTTGCGCACGCCGGCCTGTATCGACTGGTAGTTGGACATGAACTCCATTTCGAAGGGCAGCTGCATGTCTTGGATGGCGGTCTGCAGCTGCTGCTCCAGAGACTTGCGCAGCAGAAGGGCCTCCGCCAACAAGGCGGAGGGAGGAGCGGGTGAGCGCTCCACCGCTTCGCACGTGGCCAGGCCCTTGTCGATCAGATCCCGGGAGCGCTGCAACCACGCGTTGTTGCTGTTGATCTTGGCCGAGTAGAGGGACTCGAGCTCCTTCAGCAGCTCCGTCTTGCGCTCGTCCAGCATGGATGCGAAAAACTGGTGCGTCTCGTTCAGCTCGTTGTGCGCCTTCTGGTACTGCAGCTTGACCTTGGTCAGATTCTGGTCGGAATTGCCGGCTATGCCCACGATCTCTCCGATCTTGCCGCGCATGTCCGCCAGGAGGGTCTGCAGGGCCGTCTCGTTCGCCGCGGAAGCCGCAGTGGCGGCCGCCGTGGCCAAGGCTGGTGACTGGACGTTCTCCAGCTCGTGCAGGCCCGTCGAGTGCTCCAGAACGATGCACTCCTTGCACACCAGGATGCAGCAGGTGCGACAGCTGAACTTGAGCAGCTCCTGCTTGTGGCGCGGACAAAACAGCTGCCGCTGCTGGTGCACTGAGCTGTAGAGGCTCTCCTGTTGCTGGTGCTGGTGCTGCTGCTGCTCCTGGGAGCTGGCCTGGGCGGCGGCGGCAAGCACGATCTTGGAGAGCTGCGACATGGGCTGTGTGGGCAGAAGTTGCTGTTGTTGTTGTTGTTGTTGTTGTTGCTGTTGTTGCTGCTGTTGCTGCTGCTGCTGCTGCTGGGAGTCGAGTTGCTGCTGCTGCTGCAGCATCATAGTCAGGGAGCTGGCGTACTTGAAGTCGTTGGAGGCCGGGTTGTTGCTGGGCGGGCTCACCGCCAGGGGCAGGGCTGTCGCGTCAAACCCCTTGATGAGGCACACGTTGTGTCCGTTGAAGCAGTGCATGAACTCGTGGGCCGTCACGCAGTTGGCGCACAGGTAGCTCTGGCAATCGAAGCACTTGGCCACCGCGTCGCTGCACTTGCTCTTGCAGGCGGTGCAGCGGGGCGGGGAGCTGCCGTTCCCGTTGCTGCTTCCGTTGGATGTGTTGGAGGAGGCACTGCCATTGCTGGAGGTACCTTTGCCCGCGCCCACGACCAGGCTACTGATGCCCGAGGTGCTGCCGCTGGCGGAGCTTTGCAGATTGCTGCCGATGACGCCGGGTCCGTTCGAGGACACATTGGTGGCGCTGATTACGCTGCTGCTAGTGCTGCCGCACCCGCTCAGGCCGCTGGTCGAGGAGCTGGATGAGGACGACGACGAGGAGCTCGACGAGGATGAGGACGACGAGCAGGAGGACGAGCTGGCCGACGAGCTGGACGAGACGGAGGCCGATATGGGGTGGTGGCCATTGATGACGGTCACGTCCGATCGCGTCTTGACGCCGACACTGCCGCTGCCGACGCTGGTGTACTCGTCGCTGCAGATCGCCGAGTCGCTTGCCGGTGGCGATGAGCCGCTCAGGGTGAGCGGGGAGTCTGATAGGTAGCCGGCGTGCTCGTACGACTCAATCGAGTTCGCCCCGCCCCGCATCGAGTCCAGAGATGGTGTCGGCGAGGACGCCATCTTTGTGTAATTGCCTGCGTTGGCTTCGTTGACCGTTAGGAGTAACAGCTGTAGGGCAGAGTGGAAGAAAGGGGGAAAGACGATAAAATTAGATAAGTTGAGTTCACATGCGGAATAATTCATTAATTTGTCTTGTTCATTTGTCTAGACACTTCCTTTGGAGCATTGCTTCCCTGCGACTGATTCAACCACCCCGCTCCCACCCCTTCCACCCATTCCGCACCTCAGCGCAGAGTTGGGTCCCACAGGAGCCTCTTTGTCTCCATAATTTGTCGGTAATTGCCGCCTCTAATCCCCCCTCGCAGCTGTGACATCTTCGAAGAGAAAAGTCGGGCCAAAAGAGACAGTCGCACCCCTGTTTCCTCCCCCACTATCGCCATCACTCCAGGAAAGGGGAAAGACCATTCAAATTATTGAAGGAAGCAGACGGAAGCAAAGCGAAGCTGTACCCTGCCCTGGATGAAAGCAGCCACAGTCACAGGATTCCCTTTCCCCTCGTCATAGAGTCCTGCAACCCCCCACAACAAAATGCAATAAACGCACCCAGACGCAAGCAGACAGCACCGCAGCCCTCATTCACATTCATTCCCTTCGTTCGACTGTTCAGCGGTTCGTCCGTTGCCTTGGGCAAAACTTTGCACGGCCAAAACAGGACAGGGCAAAGAAACACCCACCCCTCGCCGAACAGTAAACAAAAAGAAACTTCTCCAGAGTTCCAGCTCCGCACTTCCGTCAACAAGGAAATCAACGTAAAAGGCAATCGCGAACGGGGAGGTAAAGCGAAGAGAACGCAGCGACATCAACCCCGAAAAATGTGCGGGGGAGCGGAAAGTGAGCGAAAAGAAATCGGTTTGAGGGAGAGAGGAGAGGAGCTGTTTAACTGTCTAGACTGTAGTACATTTATCATGCACACACACAAACACAGTCACACACACATCCCGCACACAACTCCAACGTACGTGAGAGAGGGACAGGGCGACGACTCACCTTTACTGTTTTGTTTTTGTATGTCTTGTTGAATTTTCTATGTTCTAGGCTCCGCTTTCGTTCTTCCGTTGCTCAGCTTGTGGTTGTTTTGTTGCTCTTCTTTCTAGTTGTTGCTCTCCGCAATCACTAATTTGCTTGCTCTCTGGTCGCTGTGCTTGTAGTTGTAGTTGTGTGGCTGTTGCTTTTGTTTTTGTTTTTGCTTTTGTTTGCGGGGACACGCTGAAACAGATTTGTGTAGCATACTTTTGGGTGCTGTCCGTTAATGGCGGTGCGCGCACAAACTGCTGCAATGGAAAACAAAACAAAATTTGTATTTAAAACATTTACTTCCGTTCGAGGATCGTCTTAGTCACTATTATTATGTTTGGACACGGTGGAATGAGACAAGCGTGTCTGGGCAAGGGCATCTACTGTCCCCGCGCGACGTGACGCGAATGGCAGTTCAGTTCCCTGCAAAACTAACTTTGCGCATAATGCAGCGACCCGGGTAAAGCTCCCAAGCCGCAGCAGCAGCAGAAGCGGCGGCGGCAGCAGCAGCCACTCAGTCGACGGCGACCGCGTCTCGACTTCGTTATCGCCGCCTCCAGAATGAGCGAGACCGAGACCACGTCCTGTGCCTGGGGACCACACAAATATGCAGAAAGAAATGCAACTCTGCATACCACGAGGCGGCTGCCTACGTCAGTGCAGTGGGGTCTGCTCCCGGTTTGCAAATTAACGTCAAAAATTACCGAGACAGAACAGGCGAAAAATCAATATATATATATATACACACACACACACGGAATAGTCTCATATTCACATGCATACTCGGCAACAAGCTGCGAGAGAGCAGAGCGATAGACCTGAGCACAAGAGAGAATGAACTCTCATGCCGAACTGTTGAATGCCGGTCCGGTCCAGGTCCAGGTCCAGAAAAAGCAGAGCAGAGCACCAGAGCGCAGCTACAACACGAACAAACTGCATCCCCCTGGCACCCACAGTTGTTGCTGTTGTTGTTTAGCAACCCCTAAAACAATATGGCGGCTTTCAGACCAGACCAGACCGGACCACCCACCCGAAAAATCTCGAAAAGCCTCCCCTGAAGAGCAACAATTTTCCATGGCAGACATTTCGCGCGTGCTACAGGTTGCGTGCTCCGCTGAGAGCCAGCGCCAAAGAGAGATAAGGCAGCGAAGAGAGAGCAGAGAGCAGAGAGCAGAGAGCTAGAGAGAGACAGCAATCAGGAAGAGTTCTCAGAGCCCGCGTCGCTGTTCTACCGCTGCCTGCGCATGTTTTTTCCCAATTTGGGCAACGACCGCAAAAAGCAAGCGAAAGCAATAGCAACAAAGCGTCTGCAGCTCTCTTCCTCTCCCGTGGGTGGGATGTGGGTGGCTGGCGGCATGTCTGCTCTATGTTGCCGCAGAACTTTCGAGCAGCAGGAAGCGCTTATGCTGCCGGCGCCAGCAGTGCAGCAGCTCGGCAGCATAACTGCACGGTGAATATTTCTGTATACCCCCCGATGGAGAGAAGCGAGAAGAAATAGCCAGACGACAGGCACACTCGATTTGTGTACATATTTATGTTACATGCACACAGCAATGACCAAAATAATAGACCCACTACCGAAACCTGTCTGAAATAGGATCGAATCTGAACTATCTTACTAGATCCTCGAACCTTTAAATAAGTAACATATTTACATTGCATAGAATTAAATAGGATTTTCTTCTACCGATTTTGCAGTACTGCCAACTTTTGCAAAGGCCTCAACTCTATCTCAAGTTCTAGTCACACCTGGGACGTACCTCCAAAAAGTGACTCATAAATAAACTTTGGGCGCTGGTGGTAATTTCAACAAATTAGTTAATATACACAAGAATAGCGCCAAAACGTCACCGGTATATCCAATAAAATCAAACAAAGGGAGCCGGGGGTACGGGGCACGGCGCTTGGTTTTGGTTGCCGGCAGAGGTTGATAGTAGGCGCGCATTGTCTATCGATTAGATTAGCACATTTTCGATTGGGGCAGTGGCCATGCTGTGCCGCGAAGAGGGGGGGCAGGCAAAACTGTCGAACTGTCAGTCCGATTGTATATCATGACAAGATAAATATCATTTGGGCCATCAGAAGAAGCGCCCGGATCTCAATATCTCCGCCATATGTTTTCTATAAAGTGGATCGCTGCGCAGAGTGTTAGTGGTGGGGACGGGAGGAGATGAAGGGTGTACCAATGAAATGTACATACAAATTCCAGACGGCTTGTAAGTGTTTAAAAATAGAGAGAAGAGCAGCTAATAATCAGACAGTGCACTGCACTCTGCCTCTCCCTCTGCCCCTACCTCTGCCACCCCCGCCATTATCCCATACTAAAGAAAGAAGAACAAGAAAGGGAGAAATGGGAAGTGGAACAAACGACGCAGCCATTACTAATGTAAAACAATTTGTACACGATTATGAATTTCATGGCTCAGGAGAGTGGAAACAGTCAGCAGCGAGAGCCCTCCTGTTGGACACGCCGATGGAGATCGTTATGTTCCCCACGTGAGGGGGGGGCAGAGAAAGAGACAGAGACAGAGCCAAGTTCAAGCTATAGTAAGCAGAGAGGGGCGCAAGGGGGAGAGCGAACAGTTCTGGTTCTGCAGAACTCCCCCCACTCCACAAACAAACTCAAAATAAACAAAGCTCTGTTCCACTTCCATGCATTCCCCGGTGCCGTTTGGGGTTGCGACGGAAACTGCGACTGCAGCAGAGTTCAATGGTACCAACAACAAGAACAACCAGCACCAAAGCCAAAGAGCATGTCACAAACACACACACACAAGTGCAGGGATACATGGATACACGCATACACAGAGGCAGAGAGCGAGGAGGAATGAGCAAGCCATAAAACAGAACAAAGCAAACTACATTTACCTGATGCACACACACAAATACAAAAAGGCACACAGGAAAGGCACTTCTTCTAGAAGATAAAATATTCGTCCCAATCGCAGTCCCGATCCAATCCCAGGCCAGGTTGGGACAAAGGCACCGCTGTGGCGGTGCCCGACCCGCCGCTGCTCGATGCAAATTTTGTATGCTCCCCAGAATTTCGCGACGTTCCGCCCCACCGTCAGCCGTACAAATTGACAGGCGGGGGACTATGCGTCAGCAGCAGCAGGCAGCTCTGCTCAAGCTGCTGCTGAATGAAATTTTATTGAACAAGACAATGGCGAAAAAATTCTGCGACGCCAGGCACAAGGGAGTTTTATTGTAGCCAAGGGATTGGGAGAGAGACAGAGACAGAGAAAGAGAACGAGATGCAGACAGCAGCATCCAATTTAGCAGACAGCGTCCCGATCCCGACGCTCTCCCACGACTAGTGCCTGCTCGTTCCCACTGCTGCGGCAGCCCGACAGGTCAACGGCGTCGCTGCAGTTCTTGTTTTTTCGTTGTCTTCTTCCTCCTCCTCAGCCTCTTCCTCCTCTTTCTGCACAACAGTTTTCTTTCTTACTGCGCTTTGTAGTGTCTGTGGTTCGTGTTCTCTCTCTCCCTCTCCCGCTCCCTCGCATGCCCTTCCATGTCTGGCCTGTCAACATGGCCGGCCATTAGTCTGAGCGAGACAGGGACAGATGAAGTGTGTGACTGTGTGTGTCCTGGCCTCAAGAGGGGCAGAGGAGAATATTAGGACTGGAAGTACAGTGCCGGATCGCAGCATAGATGCAGCAGCACAAGCGAATTGGCGTTATCTATTGGCTGCATCCAATCAAACGGAACGTGTTCCGCCGCCTCGTTTCTCGTGTTAACCTCTGATAAATATTTGCTATCTGCTTTAACATTTTCAATTAGAGATGTACCATTTTCGATTTCGGGTTTTTTCGCCCCGACCAAGTGTGTTTGTGTTCCATCTGGCGTTATCTATTACGTGGTGCAGCAAACGCGACTCTACACGGCCTGATAATGGAAGCACACACAAAACATGAAAATTGATTCGGAGAAACGACCCCGACCAAGCGACCCAATTCTGGAGCGAGCAGGAAATGCACTGCAGCTAAGACGCTGGACTGGATAGCGGGAAAGCCCTCCCTGATAAAGGAATACCCCGACATACAACATCCACCATCGTACTAGCCAACTGTTTCCAGATCGTGCCCCAAAGCGGTCCCCTAGAGCTAGAGGTAGAGCCCCATCGGCGGCGACAGCTTTCAATCAGTCAAAGCCAAATCGAGCGTGAAACAAGACACATGGAGCCAGCCACATCCAATGTTTTTTTTTTCTGTTCCGTGTGTTTATGTTCGACGTTCGAGTAGAAGCAAATTGTAAACACGTTTTAGGTTTTGTATTTTAATGAGGAGAGCCCCCGAGCCCCGAGCCTCAAGACCCCCAGCGCCGAGCGTCGCTCGCACGTCGATCAGTCGGATGGCCGTCTGTATGCTCGTCTACAGTGATTAACTTTAAAGAACATTGCCGTAATATTTTCTGTTTAAAATATACACAGAAACAAGAAATAAACCCGTGTTTTGTTCTTCCGCATCGGAGCCACAATAACAACAACAACGACAACTTAAACAGTCGATTCTGGGCATTGTTTATACAGTTGTTGTGAGGTGTCGCAATAAATAGGCTCGCTCTGGGGGAAGCGGGGTAAAGGTAGCCCCCCCCCCCCCAACGGAGGATATTTCTGCACGATCACCACCACCCCCACAGATAATGAATGTTTGTCCTTTGCATGCACTCGTGGGAGCGGGAACATCGATGCCGGACGCGACACGGATGGCGGGCGTGCAACGAAACAAGAAATGAGATAATAATAACAAAAAGCTCACAAACTCAGTGCTGCCCTCAGCAGCAACACAACGGAGAAGAACAAACACAAAGCAGAAAGCGGAAAAATACACGCGGGGGTCTAAAGGAGGCTGAAGGCGGGGCTATGTAGCAACAATGCAAGTGATGCGCCGCAAGATACACTCGTAGACAAATGGAAGGCAAAAGGCGAGAAGGAAAAAGGCAGCACACACACACACACACTTCAACACAGATACATTCGCACACAGACGCAACCACGCACTCACTTAGTCGGCGCGAACGCTTGCTGCCGCCGATTCTAAACAAGTTGATGAACTCTGCTCGCCAGTTCTGGCTTTGGCGTCAGCGTCGGCATCAGCGTCACACAGAGAGGAAGAGAACCACACAGCTCAGTTTTATTTTTCATAAGTACATGGGCATTTGTATATGTATTGTACATGTGCATGTGTTTTGGGTTGTTGCAAATGTGAATTGCACTTATATTTATTTTATTGGTTATTCCACTATTATTAATACT